CCCTCGGGAGGGACCTGCCAGGAGCAGGAGCCCTGGCCTTACCTTCTTCATCTGGAACTTGATGGTGGACTTGACCTCATCCACCTTGGCCACCAGGTTCTCGTTGTGAGTAAGGAGGGAAGGGAATTTGCCAGCTTTGTTCAGACCCGGGCCCAGGATCCGAGGAATCTGCTTGATCAGAGACTCGGAAGCCAGGAAGGCGTCGTACTTCTTGGCTGAGGAGAGAACCCAGGGAGGTGAGCAGGGATCAGCCCTGCCCCGAGCTGGGAACCACCAGCTTGGCCAACACTGGGCTGCTCCAGCTCCCCCAGCTCTGCCAGTCCCGCTGCACATCCTGACCCAGCCAAACCCACCAGAACCCTGCTGCACATCCTGACCCAGCCAAACCCACCAGAACCCTGCTGCACATCCTGACCCAGCCAAACCCACCAGAACCCTGCTGCACATCCTGACCCAGCCAAACCCACCAGAACCCTGCTGCACATCCTGACCCAGCCAAACCCACCAGAACCCTGCTGCACATCCTGACCCAGCCAAACCCACCAGAACCCTGCTGCACATCCTGACCCAGCCAAACCCACCAGAACCCTGCTGCACATCCTGACCCAGCCAAACCCACCAGAACCCTGCTGCACATCCTGACCCAGCCAAACCCACCAGAACCCTGCTGCACATCCTGACCCAGCCAAACCCACCAGAACCCTGCTGCACATCCTGACCCAGCCAAACCCACCAGAACCCTGCTGCACATCCTGACCCAGCCAAACCCACCAGAACCCTGCTGCACATCCTGACCCATCTGCCTACAGCTTGCTGCCCTGAGCAAAGGGGCTTCTGATGAGCTCCAGGGGACTGACAGGGACCTGTGCTCCACCAGGAGCCTCCTACCACAGCCAGGATCCACCGTGGAGAGCCTGGGCTACAAGCCCTCACTCCTAACTCCACATGGTTCATGATGGGTTGAGTGGGGAGTTTTCCTTGTCTGCCCAAGGTTTGTATCAAAAGGACTTTGGCCTCACAAGGGAGAAAGATTTTCCCTCTTAAGTGAAAAGGAGCAAATTTCATCCTGTCCATGCTCCTGCTGGACTTGAGCAAACCTTCACCTCCAGCTTAGCTACACTCCAGCTCCCTGACTGGAGGGGTGAGAACACCAGCAAAGGGTGAAGCTTTCATGGAGTCAGGAGCAATTTTTATCTGTCCTTTCAATGCAGAGGAAAGCACCAACCCCGCTGAGAGGTCAGACCTTCTACACTGGCACCAGTTTGATGGCTTCTCTGGGCAGTTTCAGGCTGACTCTGGTCAGATCTCAGTTCCCTGCAGCTAACCAGCACATGGAAATCTGAGCAGAGGGAAAACCACCCAGCCCCCCAAACCAACCCACCCCACCACTCACCCAGCTTCTTCACCAGCTTCTTGTTCTTGTTGAGTTTCTTCAGAGCCTCTATGTCCATGTGAGGGATGTCAACGGCTTTGGCCTCATCGCAGTGCTGCTGGTCCCCCAGCAGACACACAGAGAACTTGGGCCGTGGGGTTGATTTCAGCCTGGGACAGACAGAGGGTCCAAATTACTCCAGACCACCAGCACCAGATGCTTCCGTGGGAGCCCCCCTGGAGGTACCTTACCGCAGTGCCCGGGGCATCCTCCTCCACAGCTCCTAACCTGCCTTCCCCAGCAGGCCGGCGGGGAAGACACAGGGGCCTCCCCCACCTCCCCTCATGTTTTAAGACCCAGGGTAGGGGTCCGTCCAGCCAGGGCGGTCTGAACTACCCGAGCGGTTCGGCGCCGCGACCCCTGGGCGGGGGGCACGGCCCGAAGGCTGGGTGGGATCTAGAGGATGCCGAACCTGACGGTGCCGGAGAACCGCTTGTCTTTCTGCGGGTCGTAGTTCTTGAGGCTGATCTGCAGCTCCACCGTCTCCACGAACCTGCGGGAGAGGAGGGGAGGGGAGGGGAACGCGGCGCAGGTGAGGGCCCAGCCGGGCTGGGGGGAGCA